CACAAACCTTTTTTTTAAAAAAAGGAGAGGTTGTTCTATATAATAATAATATTTAATTTCGGCCGAAACGTGGTTTTATCATTACTTTTGTGTTTGTTTACATTTGTGCATACAGATTTGTCGCTTGAATACAGCCTGGGTAACTGACCTTTAGGTATAAGTTAACATTAGATTTCTAATGCAAACAATATCCTCTGTGTGGTGTTAACATCAGGTTTATATATTTCATTCAACACACTCAAGGCTGTATTCATAAGAAAACCCTGTGTGTAAACACATTTATCGAAGGAGAGCAATGAACATTAGCAACTCCTATCTCACACATCAGAACAGAAAGCAGCAGTGACAACCGGAGCTGTGAAACATGTGTCATCTTTTACTGCACTAACACCCAGTGTGTTAGCAGGACCCAGGAAGAGACGCTTCAAAGAGCCGAGCAGAGTAGCTGTGTGTGTTTTTGTGTATGTGTGTGGGTCACACTGTGTATACGCGTGCAGTGTTAACAGACTACTGCAAAGCCTGCTGTCACAGACAAAGCTTCACTATTCCCTTTGTACACTACCTTAAATGGTGAGTACAGCCTCAACACTTGAAACCTGCTTTAGTGAGACGATATTTAACTTGTGAAAAATGCATTTCTGGACACATCTGATCTGTATAAAACAGTTTAAGAGAAAAAAAAAGAGTCTAAATATAACTAAATATATGGGAACCTAGACCATATCTTATTTGCTGAGTTTTTCTAAAGATTAAAATATTACTTTTCATCCCATTCAATTCAATCAAACTGACGGCTTGGCTGCATATCATTGAGAGGAGGTGAAATTGGCTTGGGAGAGACATGACACTGGCTGGAAAAGTACAGCAATCCATATGAATTCAGCATTTTATTTCTGATCTGTTCCCATTGAACTGAACGCATGTGACTTTTTGAATTGAACTGGTTTTACAAGCGAGTGTGTGTATGTGTGTGTGTGTGTGTGTGTGTGTGCGTGCGCACATGCTTTTGTGATTGTACAGTGTGTGTTTGTAAGCTATAGTTATTTATAGTTGGAGCTAATGTTATGAGGCTCCATCCCAAGAGATCCCCAATTATCATGGAATTTAGAAAGCAAAAGCTAAACCCAAACAGTCTAAAATAGTGCTAAGAATAGACTGACCTTAGACATAATCCATTCTCCCGGCATAATGCAGTCATATCACTAGAAAACAGGGTAAAGAGCACGTGCACACATACAGACACAGAGGCTCTTCTCTCTCCAGGAATGCTTTTAGAGTGCTAAGAGCAGACACCGTGTGTAGGCAGATGTCTCGGCAGTAATAGTGGAAACTACAATAAATTCTGGATTTATGTGCTAACACTCCAAAAAGTTCTTGAGATACAACAGAATGATAAATCACATAGCAATATTCCTGTCCTGAGTGTAAGGGATCGGAAACAACATGCTGAACAACTGCTTATCTGGTGAGCCTTCAGACAATGAAGTGGCGTGTGATTTGCATGACAACATTTTAATGAAAACAAGTTCCCAGAAAGACAATCCTACAACATTGTATTTCATTCAGAAAAACAAACTACTAAAACAATGTCTTTTTCTTTAGTTATCTCTATGATAACTAGTAAAATGGTGTAGGAAAAGTTAGATATAAGCCTAATGAACACTTAAACTTCACAAAAAGCAGCAATTAGACCAACTGAATGTCACTGTGAGTTTACGCAGGCACACACACAGCAAAGCTCTGAGACTGGAGCTGGAGGTTAGTCTGAATTTGGAGTCGGACTGGGATTTGAGTTCATTGTGAGCTTGCATGTTTGCGTGTTACACTGCAATCATCTAAACCCTCACTGACTCTTTACTGGCTTCAGCAACATTCAACATAACATTAAACAATGGGAATGAATTAAAAGGAGTTGTAAGATTTTAAAACGCTGACCTCTACTCGTCAAAACAGCAAATAACTCAGACAGAAAAAGAGAGAGATAAACAAAGTAGCGGGACCGGCTGATGGGAACGAAGGCATACAGTCATTGAGATTTAAAGAGGCTCACTCACGCAGGTCTGGTGTGCCTGCCTCACGGCCACTGCACTTCCTATGCTACTGTAAACTCCAGACAGCGTATGGCCTTTGATCCTTGAACGGCAGCAGGCAGCCATTCAGGCTATAAAAGCAAACTACCTGCACACACATACAGTACCTGTATGCATGCACACAAATGCACACACACACACACGCACACGCACAAGATTCAAATGAAAGTGATTTCCGATAACATATAATGTATAGATGATGTGTCAACTGAGGACACACGTGCAGCTTTTAGGTCTCAGTTTCCTGAAATGCTAGTAACCCAGTGAAGTAGCATTATCATACCTTTCTTGTGGCATTGCATTGATCTACAGTTTCACTTCTATTACACCTCTACTAATACGACTACTACTACCACTATTTCATTATTACAATAAAGATAGAAGAAATAACAAGAACTGACTCTAGACGTGATTCTCTGAGCTCTGATGGCAAAAACACTTACAGTAAGAGAATTTTGAAAAGCTTAACAGGTGACTATTTTAGATTTGAATGCTTGGAGAAACCAGTTCCTGTAACAAGGATAAATAATGCATTCAAAAGTTAAAATCTAATCTGATATGTTGTAAGTCTAAGCAAAGGTCACATGGGTAAGCTCAAACATCTTTCAAGAATAAAGTGACAGAGATACAAAGCCTAAAAAAGCCCCCTACAAAGCCCCCCCCCCGCTTTCCTCATCATGTAAGGTTAATGATGCCGTCCTTAACCTGTGAACTTGGGAGTCTTGTAAAAACGCTACAAGAGGTACATTTAACCGCTGCAATCAACTATTCAAGAGGTGTTTCCAGCTTCATGCAAACATGCTGTTGGACCTTTCAGCGACCTAGTTTTTAAAACCTTTAAACCTACTTTTTCACATGACTCGGTTTCCGATTACATCAGCAAAGTTGTTACGCATTTCAAGTGATGCCCCTCGATATAATTTCCTTGTCCCAACTGACCCAACCAAGGTGAGAACAAGGGTTCAACGACTGCTTAACTAATGATAGATACTCTCCATTCTTCCAGCCTTGCAGCGCTATCCATCTATCCATTTTACAATGCATACAAATCCCGCTGGGGACTCTTAGGAGATCCTGAGGTCTTTCAAAGCCAGATAGGATACTTAATCCTTCAAACATGTTCTTTGGAACCAGAAATGCCTCAACAGGGAGAAATAATCATCACACGCCACTCAACTCAACTGGCTCACTTCAAAATGAAGGACTAACATTTTCTAGACTGAGCTCCTTTGGATATCACAATGCCTGACTCTAGATATAAAAAGTCTAGTAATTTGACTGCTTTCATTGTTATGCCAACTCCACAGAGGGTGTGTCAGTGTCCTCTCCAGGACACCACCCAGAGAGTACAGAGACACAGACAAAAGTCAGAGTCTTCCCTGAAGGAGTCTATAATACAGCAGTACTCATCTGGGGGATTCTTTGTATCCCCAAATCCCACCATGCCTCTCACCTTAGCTCTGGAAAAAGGGAAGAGTTCAGCCCCTATCTAGGACTTTTTGCATATGAGCCTAGCTACTATGGTCTCGCCTGTAAGCTGCCCTTACTGGTTTGTCTACAGGAGGGGGCTCCGCTTTCCTGATTCCATGCAAGGTTAGTCATTTATGTTGAGGCCAATTCAAAGGGGTTTTGGAAATGTTTTGTTTGGCCCCTCTTGGGAGAAACTGGCCTCAGGGGTCCCTACCAGGTGCTACCTGCACGTGACAACACAGCTTCTAAGGTCACGCAAACCCCTCCACCTTGAGAAGGTGGCAACTTATGGACAATGAACCTATAAAATTCTCATAAACTGCAATCCACATGTTTGAAAAATTATTTTTTTTATTTAGGATTCAAACAAAGTATTGCCTTCAATGTATATGTACAGTACCTAATGGAATTATATGTCAGTTTATGTTGAATTGTTAATTTATGCAAATCCACAATGTCATCATAATTTTTACATCTAATTGTCTGGTATTTGCAATATGGTGGCTGCCAGAGGTGATGTGTTAAGTGATGTTTCCTTGGCCTATGCATCCAAAAGACCAGTGTGAACTGTGTCTGAGGTGATAGAAGGGACAAATGAACAGGCTAGAATGACAGGTCAGGCCTTTACGACCACCAGTTTAGAGATGAGAAGGAGACCTTCTGTGGCCAGACGTCCCCCTCTCTCTCAGGCCTGCAGCCCTGACCTCCCTGGGGGAGCACGTCATTAGGGCCCATATAAACTTTTGAAGTAGTGAGTCCAAGGAAAGGCCAGGTATGTAAGGCAATAAATTGTGACTTTAAATACAAACACGAAAAGTGAAAGAGTGCATGACCCCTGACATGGAGATGACTACTTCTGAGCCGTTATGTCTTCTGTTTTTCTCCCCTTGGATGGATACCTGTCAGCCATAACTTATTACTTCCCACTATTACACTCAATAAGAATGAGAACATAGGAGTGTCTTTGAAGTTTTTTACTTGAGTCAATAAATCCTTACCAATGATTCAGCGCAACTATGTAAAACCACTAATTAATTGTGACATTTAAAATGATAGGGAAGAAATTCTTCAAAGCTTAGTCATTAGAGCAAATATCTTAACCATCAGTGAATGTGAGTCACTGTGAGCTCTGTAACATGCACAGCACAAACCTATTTAAGTGCAACATGTTTCTTGGAAAAGACAGAGAGTTTGTAATAAGTTCTGCAAGAGTGAGTCTACATGCAAATGTTTTTTAAAGTATTTAGGAGTGCATACCAAGGAGAGCCTGTTATTCTAAGAGTTTATAGCTCCCTCTCATGTCCAGAGGGTGAGTGACAGCGAGAGGCAGGCAGAGAGGGTGTTTCTCCATTGCATCTCAGCCAGGGACAGCTGACTGGTTGGGATCTAATTGCTCTCAAGTGAGGTCAGCAGGAGGCATTTATCTAAGCAGAGTGCACAGCGACAGTGGAAGATGCACAAAGTCGGCCTGCCAGAATCAGGACGACATCCATGGGAATTGACAGAAGCTCCCAGCTCTTGTTTAGTTTTACTGCATTACTGGACTTGGTTTACAACCCTGACTTCTACAGCAGTAGAACTTAAGAGTCTTCAAATTAAAACTCTTGCTGAAAGGGAACACCAATCTGACAACTCCTGTCATCCCTCAGAGCACATGTAAGTCATTAAACTATGAACTATAAACTATTTTTGAATAAGACTGGCAGCATAGTTTGTTTGTTTGTTTGTAACTACATAGTGTATGTGTACTGATACAGCGAGGGTTACAGACCATAGACTTGTGAAGCAATCCAACAGCACTGTTGCAATATTTCACTGTTCCGAGTTCGATGTCAGGGAGACGTGTGTCTGTCACAGTGCACCACAGACAGTTAGATTTACTGCTAGAAAACGTGCAATACATATTCATATGAACACAGAAAACCAGAAGCTATTCGAAAGCGGTTTGAAAATTTATGGGAGCTCTACTATGGTGCTGGATGAATCACTGCAATCATTTATTTTTTGAAGCTGCTTTAACAAAACTCTTTCGACTTGGAAGTGTGAGTATAACAGTTTGTTTCCAACTGCATTAAATAGAATTTTTTTTTCGTTTTACAGTGACATTGTGCATAACATTTCCTGACCTGGATTATGATGCCCATTGTTGGACTATGGTCTCAAGAAGATGGAGAAGTCAACGCGCACCGTCACTGAGGACTAAAGCAAGACCTCATCTCATAACACTGTCACCCGTCCTCTTCTTCAGACCACTCTAAAGCTTCAGCCAACCCCAACCACCCTGTCACAACGTCCCACTAGGACTAGGACTGCTGCAGAAACAGAGTCCCGGAGGTCGCAACACAAGGGTCACAAGTCAGGGTTCAGGGGGTCGCTGGGCTGAGGAATAGTGCACAGATCTCTATCTCACATTTCAGTATGTTGTTCATTGATTCCCACTGCATTGTATTATAATGCGCAAATGGATGCTGACATGGAACCTTCAAAATCTCTTCTCGGGACTGTACCTACATGCAATCTTCCTATTTGGCAGTGTATGTGTGGTCTACAGTGACTGCACTCCAGAGCAACTTGCCGCCATCATGAACTGCTCCAAACATGAGCGCCACACCAGGAACTACGACTACATGGAGGGAGGAGATGTGCGTATCCGTCAGCTGTTCAGCCGCACGCAATGGTTCCTAACAATAGATGACAGAGGCAATATCAATGGCACTCAAGATCCCACCGACTGCTACAGTAAGGATGACTCTTTTTGTCTAGTTATAATACCAACGGTTCAGGTTCCTCTGCATTTATTAGCAATACAAAAAACATAAATATATTTTCCAAATGTGAAATAACTTAAATGCAGGCAGGAACTAGAATTTGATGCAGTATTTAGTTGTGAAATCTTTCCACTGAACCAGTAAAGAACCTTTGGCCTGTCAGGGTGACAGAAGCACATGGGAGGTGTTATTGTACAGAGTTCTCAACAGTGTAATCACAGTGTTAATGGGTGATGTGTCTCTGTTAGGGCAGCCAAAGTGACAGAGGTAAAATGAAGCAGGTGGAGGTTTTGGCTTGTTAAACTATAACATCATGTAAACACAGGCTGTAATGAAGTAAACCAAAGAGTCTCGGAGACCGATGGGTGCCAGTTCTCCGCAACCTCAGACTCACACTGGCACAGACTCACGTTTGTTCAGCATGATTTACTTGACAAAGAATTGGCATGAATATCAGAAATGGAAAAATTATGAAAAATGATATTCAGCTTCTGATGAACCTATGGTTAGCAACTGACATCTCACACAGAGACAGCTACCATAATGTGTCCCATCCAAAATTACTGTTCCATACAACTGAAAGTAAAATTTGTCAAATAACACATGCTCATTAACTACTGAATGGCTCATTTTATTTGCTAGCCATGGTAATTGTGTTTTTAAGACTGTAAATTGTTACAATTGTAGCTTCAGAGCCAACATTTTTCAAAGCTCATATTTTTAGATACTACTGGGAATCTCTGTCATGGTGAGGATGTTTTAAGTAGTTATCATTTCCTCCTATCAGACAGTGCGGCTGTGGCTGGAATGTTGGCTTGACAGAGAGATGCCTCATGGAAAAGATGCTTGTGCAACAACTGGCAATGAAAGACAAAAAAATTGATACACCCATATGTGGCTGACGATCGCACGCTAAAAACAGACAGAAATGAACCCAATAAGCCTTAGAAGAGGCCAGCGTGGTGCTGGTATATACTACATACTTTTTGAGTGTAGTGAACAAGACGTTTTAAGTCCCGAAAAGCTGATCGCATAAGGAGAAAGCAAAAAAGAGGAATGAGAAACGTGGAGCTGCATTATTTTTGGCTTCCACATTCTGTGTGCCTCTGTAACAAAAATAAAGGCTTACATCCAGCGAGCTCATCTCTTGCACCACACAAGTTTGTTTTTTTTTTAAACTTTATTATATTTCAAAGGGTTGTTTTTACAAAAAGTCAAAATGTATCCAGTGCGGATTTTGTTATTTCATTGAAGCTTTTGTATCTACAGTGTACAGAGAACTAAAATGTCACACACTGTCAACACTGATATTGGGCAACATATTCAAAAACAGCTGTTCTGTAGAAATGTTCCTGAAAAAATAATGTGTTCATTCTGCGCAGCCATATTGCAATAGTTTCTAGTACAAGTTTGTTCTGAATCTGTAAACAAATCCTGACAAGAAAACAAACCTATAAGATAACAGATAGATTTAATTCTAATAAAACAGTAGATGGTAATTACAAGTGAAGTGAAACACCATGACATCGCTCAATTTGAATTTTAACTGAAATGATAAAAATGTCAATAAAAAGATGTGTTAAGCCACAGCAGATAAACAACTGCCACAGCAGGATGACGAGAAAACAGGGACTTCAAAGACAGTAACTATACATAAGAAGGTAGTAATCGTTTAGTGCTCTACTGTCACTCAGATTGTAACACACCTGGTGTCAGGTGCAGCTAAATTAAATTAACAGAGAGACTTGCCGTATTCTATATCCACTTTAAATTCACTGTAACTTGGTAAATGCCAAACTGTAATACAGATCTGATAAAGATGTGGAGTATTTTTAGTTTCAGTGCAGATGAAATGAAACTTGCATTCGACGACAAAGGGAGTACAAATAATTAAAATCAATTACATGTTGTCAAAGGTCACACCTGTGTGATTACATGGCATTTAATATGAAGCATGTCCTTATTTATCTTAAATGCCCTATTCCTGGAAAGCTGTCTCTCAACATCCTCACCCATGATTGTAAACAATCGATTCAGTCTCTGCTCAGAAAAAGATGAATTAGGGATTACCCTCAAGTTAGTTTGCTTAGCCAGGGACTGGACCAGAAAGTGATGACAAATCTGTTCAAGCTGAGGATAGCCTGAGAGGTTATCCGCATCAGAGCCACAATGTTAACAATATGTGCGTGTGCATGTGAGTGTGGAAATGTGTTCCATCTTTCTGCAGCAGACCAAACAACTGTAGCTGTTACATGTACTAATATGGGAATAGCACCTCCATGCTATAAGAGCGTGCTATAAAATGATATGCTTCTTAACAACCATAAAAACACACTAATCACAGCTATACACTCGGGCCCTTCTCGAGACATGCAATCGCATCTGAAATGAATGGTCAACTGACTTTGACTGTATAAGTGGGGGCGGTTTACAAATTAAGATGAAACAGTGTTACTTTGAACTCTGACATCACCTTCACCTCGAGTCATGATAAATAAAATCAAACGGGAATATGAGCGCACAGCCAAAGGGCAGTGATATTAAGTCAAATATCAAGTGCAAGCAGAGCACAAACAACATTCCAAGATTGGGAGACTGCCATCTGTTTGTGATCTAGCAAACGCTAAAATGCAGCATGCTCAGTGTCAGTCTGAAAAGCTTTAATAGGCTTTTTCCTCTGCCTGTCAAATTAAAATGGAAAAAAAAATATATAAAAAAAGTGAACTGCAAACTCTTTCATAATGTTTGAAACACATTTCTGTGTTAGTTTTTACTGTTATATATATTTTAATTTCTCATTGAGCTGAGTAAATGCTGCTGGAATAATGATCAGTAATATGTGTATCTGATGGATTATAAGATAAAGTAAAATTCATTCTTACTTTAAAGTCTTGATGATAAGTAATTAGCTCTTTCAGTTTCAAGGGAGGTGAAATATAAGACTGAATCCCTATTAAATGTTGTTCATTTAAGACCTTTTTCTTATGTGGTGTAGACACAGTTCTGTATACATGATCTGAATTTCTGTCTTTACAGATGTAATTAGTTTCATTCTATCAAAATGGTACTGTGGCCTCTTTTTTCTTGCATTTTCCACTAAAGCATCCAGACTTTGTTATTCATTGTGCTAGTACTATTTGTTTCTATTTGCAAAATAGTGTCTTTACTCTCCAACAGATTTGAAAAGCAGGCCTAAAATGTAGCGTGCAAAGCACATGCAAGGAGGTAGTTCTCTCAATCCCAGGAGAGAGAGGCCTAATCTGTCTCCCATATGTGCTATGGCATAGGTTGTGGTTTGTGTAATGGCCACCCAGGCCAGTTAACAAGGCTTGAATAAAGCCAGAGAGACCACAGACTGATTAACCACAGGAACTTCCACCCTGTTTGTTAATGAAGATGAATGTTGAGTGCAGTGTAGAGCTGGAGTGAAGGCTAGATGATGATAGTGTCTTATCTGTCCTGTAATATGTCTCATTTTCTTAACTGTTTGACTGTCTGGCAGGTATCCTGGAGATCAGGACAGTGTCTGAGGGGGGCATACTGGCCATCAAGGGTGTGAAGAGTCAGCGTTATATCTCTATGAACAGGGCTGGAGTACTGCAAGGCAAGGTAATATTTTTCCTCAGTGAGATGAATTATAAACCATTTTCAGCTAATTGATAATAAACAGAAATAGAAGTATTGCAAAACATCCATTTGAATGTGAAGACCAAGGAATGTCAATAAAGGCAAATACTGGCAACTTTAGATTGTACTGTATTAATGCTTTCACATCTTTTCATCACAGGATACCTACAACGAAAACTGCAACTTCAAAGAGGTTTTCCTAGAAAACTACTTCAACGCTTACTCGTCTGCAAAGTGGACTAAAAATGGCAAAGAAATGTTCATAGCCCTGTCTCAGAAGGGAAAGCCAATACGAGGGAAGAGGACCAGGAGGGAGCATATAGCATCTCACTTCATCCCTATGAAATGCAGGGAGGAGGAGAGGAGGGTGGACTGAAACAGCACAGGACTAAGTCGCAAATTGTGCATGATTTCAATCACATATTATATATGTTAACAGACACATGTAAACTCATTACCAACATCACTCTCCACTCTCCTCAAGTTGTAGATTAGTTGTGTATGTTCCATAATATGTTGTCATTTTCATATGAGAAAACAAAAGATATCAGATGGGCACATTAAAGTATTTCAAACATCCTCAAATAAGATGCTGAAATAAGAAATTTTGGAAATATTTGAAATAGCTTCAACTGATACACAAACTGTAAGACCACTAAAGTCTACTCAATGTTATTGTTATTTTGAGTTAAATATTATGTTTCCTTATAAAACAGTTCAGTGTTTTCTTATAAAACAGTAAAATATATTACACACAGTCAGGACTGAATCCTTTTCCAAAAATGATTGACACCCAGCCAGATGAGGAGACCTGTATGATCAACATAAATGTGCATAACAGAGATTTGGCTTGACTTAGATGTGCTGAAGCAAGCTGGACTTGTCTTTTTTAATGGTACAAGTGCTCAGAGCTCACAAAACTGAGGCACAATAAATACGATTACGACAGCATGTTCAGGAAAATGAAAGTTTTTGTAGGATGATCTGTTTGTGGATGACCTGTTTTGATCTGTCTGTCCTTCCTGCATTGAAAACCAGACTCTGGTCAAATGCATTGTAGCTGCTCACTGATTTCCTCTTCATTATCAAGGTGTGATTTTGAAATGCTAAAATGTTCTGCTGCTGCTGAAAAGATATCCAGATTAAAATACAAAAGTGAACAACATAATAAATGTGTATGCTATGCAATCTCTTTCCAACAGAGTTAACAATCCTGTACACTATTGAATACTTATTTATAAGGAGATTATTTTTGGTTTCAGTTAAAACATCACCATTTTACTAAGTATGAATGAAAATGTACCAGGAGATCGACTTCCACACATATCCAAAAAGGCCAACTTTCTCTGTATGATGTCACTGTAATATCCCAATACTGACTACAACATTACAATACCTTATAATTCACAGTTGTAAGTTATTTGTTTTATTTATACACAACAGATGAGTTATATGTTAAAGCATCACTTTTCATTACAATGTGATTGTTCCACCTGCAACATTTACCGTGCAACTGCTGAAGCACAGAATTACAGATCGCATTCACTGTTTTGTTGACCACTAGGGAATATAAAAGACTCCACAATATACTCACAGGAACTAGCTCATCACGTAACATGTTAACAAGCAATGCCCTACATACACATCCTTTTTACGTAATTTTTCCAACATTCACAAGCACTTTCTCCTGCTGTGGTCTTGACCTTTTGTGAGGAAAATGTCTGGTACTCGTGGACTTGCCAAATGTTCAACCTTTGTGTAAGCAGCCACTCTGCACGTCACCTGAGCATTTCCTCACACCACACACCTGCTAATGTACAACCCACGTCTGTGAGCAGTGTTGATTCTTTGTGGATTTGACAGCAACTGAGTTCTGAAGTAAGATGAAGAGGGAATGTTATTCTATAAAAATAATACACCCTCATTAACTCAATTAATCGGACTGGAGAAATAAACAAGTTTTTAAGAAAGATGACCTTGTTATTCAATTACATATTTTTAGGTATCTGTAATCTCACGCCTCATATGGCCTAATTTTTAGAACATGATAAAACTGTACAAAATGTATGATCTCTTATTTGCAGTGATTTTGTTCTTATTGGAAAATGACTGTCTGTGGATTAGTCCTAATTTAATCTTTGAATATCATTTGATAAAATTATTCAGCCTCTAATGCTATAATTCACACACGCCTGTAGAGAAAATGTAATACACATTAAGCAACTGCTGTGTTTCAAACTCTGATATATTACCGCAGTCCTCTGGAGATATTAAGCAGCCCATTTCTCAGCTTAGCTGATTTAGTGACAAGATAATCAAATCTGTTGATGTTGTCTTTAACAAAATTGAACACACATTGCAAAGAAACATTTGGGAAAACTTTAGTGTTCTTGGACAATCCTAAGCACATGATATACATGAATATGATCACTCAGTCTGATAAGGGAGCGTGAGATGTGGTAATACAGCTTGAGGATAAATCTATTAATTTATGATGGAAGATAAAAATACATCAACAAGGTCAAATGTTGCACTAATTCCCTCTGAGTTTATAGTGTATTGAGAATAACTGGAGTCTTGCCAGTGTGCAAAAATATTGTAGACATATTGGCAGGAGGCCTACACCATACGTTCAAATACACATACATACAAACCTCTGCGTGCAGGCGCACTAACACACACCAACACACCAGCACGAGCTTTACCTTTCGCCTGGGTTCACATCTGGCTTGGAGAACCCCTGTCAGATAAAGACAGTCAAATTGAGAGAGCAAACCCCTGAAATACGTTTGACCCAAACAATATCTGAGCAAGGTGAAGGCTTCTGCCAAGTCACGCAAAGTTAGTCTTAGCAGATAATTTGTAACATGCTCAAAATGTAAACACATTTCAGACTCAAGGCTGTGTATTCCCAGCAGGACGAGGAGAGGCTGACGCCAACAAGAGCGAGAGAGAACTGTCATAGACGTGAAGCTACAGACTTCCAAGAGAAAAGACGCAACATATGTATGCCAGACACATGAATTATAAGTACAAGGTGATCCAAGACCCACAGATGGTGTTTAATAAAATGCTCCTGATATAACAAATAATTTTAATACTGTTTTTAATACTTTTTTCTCTTTTTACAAATTGTGGGATTCCTGCACTTGTCGTCATCTGCTGTGTATTAGAGTTATCAAATAGTCAAATTATGAAACTGGCAATACTCTTGCCAGCATTGACACAGAGTTTCTTTACAATAATATATTTTGCCTTGTAATGTCATCACTGATTGTACAGTAGACTGGTTAATCAGGCTGAGTAGTTTTTATTTTGTATTATTAATAAACATAGATCAGTAATTGCTTACCAGATGTAGCCATAATTTAAAGGGATAGTTCGGGTTATTTGACGTGGGGTTATATAAGGTACTTATCCATAGTCAGTTTATTACCTGCAGTAGACCTGAGCTGGCAAGCTCCCAGTTTGGAGGAGCAGACAGGAGTACGGGCACAGAAGCTCAGCAATATGCTGCTTGTGGAAAGGGAGAGCAAAAAAAAAAAAAAAATCATATTTTAGCTACCTAAAAACCAATATCAGGTTGAGTGCACGCTATAATTTGAATATTTTCACTGCTTTATCTTGCTGTCAAACAGCCCTTCCCGTGGCACTACATCTTCTAAACCTCCGAACTTTGTTGTTTGAGTCATAAAGAGCTGTTATCCATAGTCCTATGGATAAGTACCTCATACAACCCTATGTCAAACAACCTGAACTATCACTTTAAGGTCAAATGTATTGGTTAATAATCATGGAATCCAAAGTTCTGTATTAGCAGATAGCAAATCAGTAGTTAGAGAGGTCTACTAGGGTTTTAAAGCACAGCAACAGTACAACTTTTCAAATTTTAATATCAGTTTAGAGCAGTGTTATTGTTAACAAGGTTATGCGTCTTAATTTTCCCTGCTTAGAAAAGTAGCTAAAGAGCTACTGTGCAGTTTGATGGAGCTCCTGGGATCAATAATTATTCTATGACAATGATTTACTATTTGTTACAATACTTTAAAACATCAGTATTATATTTGCATTTGTGTGGAAGCATGAACACAGAAAACCACATGTCCCATATTACAAACAGAATGTGCAGACAACGGCAACGTTTGCAGGCAGTTTGAAGGAAGTCACTGGCCGTGAATGGAATGAGGCAAACAGAAAGGGGGAGGATGAGAAAGTAAGGCAAATGAAGATGAACAGGGCAATAGGCTGGGGAGTCTCGTGCGATGTGGAGAGGTGGTCTTGGGGCAGCAGGAGAAAGGGGAGGCCCCGGGGGGAGGGGGAACACGCAGCTGAACTTGATACATTTCAGGGCCGTAAACCTTCATTTCCCCAGAGGAAATCTGTGGTTATGCAACTTGGGGAATTCTGTGTTTACAGCCTCTAGCACGGTACCCCCAGAACACCAGATCATTGTGAAAGAGGATCGGGACCTCCAGCAACTCACCACAATATCGCACTTTCCCTAACAGTGGATTAAATCCACACAGAGAAATAATAAATTATGATTAAAAGAAGATGTTTATAATCCACCACAACATTTGAGAACACCATTCGGTCACCAAGTCCACCAAGAAAGTAAAAACACATCTTCAGTTTCAGCTGGGTTTTAAAGGCTATTTTAACTATTGTACATCAAGAAATCATTGTAGACCAAGAAGAAATAAAACAAAAACCTCTAATGTCCAAATACAACACAACAAGAGCAAATAATACTGTTCAACACTCAAAATTCTGCCTGACCTGCAGAAATATGTACTGTAGATAGATATGATACGATGCTAGATATGATGACCACATTTTTAAACATGAACCCTGCAAATAGGTTCAAGTTTTTTACCTGGAGCAGGTTGCAAAAGTCAGTAGCTGACAGGCTGGACCAACAGTGAAATACTATAGTGTCTCTCTTCAGTTTTTAAATATAACACTGATGATGAGACAAGAGATTGGCCAACTCTATGTTTATGAAAGTTCACAATGAGTAAACTCCACAAGAATGACCATGTTTGGGGGAGTGTCCGCCTGTGTGGTGGCTCAGGTAGGACGGTTGATTTATTATCAAAGCAGACAAAAGTCCTACAAATGAATAGAATCAAAGGAAACGCAGGATAGTCATCCTTTAACATATTCATGATTGTAAAACTTTTTCAAACTCAGTGCAAAAAAAAACAAAACAACAAAAAAACACTTTTGAGGCTCAAAATGCTTGTGTGCGTCTCCTTTGGAGTTCAGTCAGGTCAGTTAAGCTGAATTTTGTGGCCACTCCCCAATCATGACAAAATAGCCATGACATCAGAGCATTTGTGCCCATGTGGTATGCACCCTAACCACTCGGCTATTGGGTTGCCCCCACAATTTTATATCTATAGAACTGAGGTGCTCCATTGTGTAGAAAAAGCAGAACCATTTTACAGCATACATTTTACTCTACACGGTTGTGTGTTCCAGTTGTTGGGAAAAATACAAATACATTGGTAACAGCAATTGCAGCGAGAGAAGTAAGTAAAATGAGAACCGAGCTTCTGGATCAAAATTGGCTGCAGGCTAACCTGAAAGTGCTAAGGTCAACATAGTTGCAATCACTTGAATTTACTACTACTACTACTTGAATTTGGATTACTGTAAGAATTTGGATGTACTGAGCTTGACAGTTTGACTGTACTGACAAGTGCATAGTTTTCAGTGGTTATTTTAGGGGTCCTGGGAGTGTGCATACAGTAATTCCAAAATTTTTTAACCCTGTTCATCCATTAAAGTTACTGGGTTGGAACTAAGATGCATTTTTGTTGGAAGGACATGCTGGTATTGATTTTTTTTTTGAGCAAAGAAATTTTTGTTTAGCCCCATTGTGCTGGGTGTTTCAAACAGGATAGGATTCAAAACCCTTTTGTGTTTCCAAGGCTTGATAGCACTTGAGAAAAGTGAAACAATTGTTTTGTTTTTTCGTGATTGGCATGCGCTGTACCTTTAAACCTGCACTTTAAGACTACTGTATCACTGATGCTGGATTTCCAGTTCACTTTTGCAAATATATTATGGACACATGGAAGCTTTTTTAAAATTGCTTAAAATACTTCCTGACTAAAACTGGTATGGGTTTTAAGTTATCATGGCACATGTACAAATATGAATGTACACAAATACATGTATGCACTAGTGGGAATACACACAAGTACAAATAACACAGTTTGAATTTATCTCTCACCATGAGCTGGATTCTTCTCTTTTATTCTTTATTCTGTTAATTCTTCAGGATTTATCTCCAGCTGCTACAGTGAACCTTTTGATTCAGGCAATGTTCAGTAAAACACTATGGTGATTTCTTGGGCTGGGCAGCCTGGATGCACCTGAAAAACAATATTTTAAATATTAGATTCTTAAATTTTCAATTGTCTGACGGTATTCAGAATTGGAAAAAACATAGAATACAGAGGAAAATAATGTAACACTAACAGTCCTCTTTGAACTTTATCTGGACTAATGTGAACAGTAAAACAAACATTCCTGAAATGTGGTCAGACAGTTTGTTTTTTCATTCCTCTGTGTAAGACTAAACAGGAAATGACAGAAAATAAATGAATTGTCTGTAACAGTCAATCCATTCAATTTGAAGCAGACAGATGGATCTCAGCCGACTTATTGTTGTTTCTATCTGTGACAATTTAATACTAAAGGCAACACTGAGCTTGACGACCAGAAGACATCATCAAGAAATCCTGTCTATGGAAGCCGAAGCAGCACACAAAAATTTTGTTTCAGAAAGCAGAGTCACTTTGAACCTGTGGAGCAAGAACCATTAGATGATGCCTTGAAGCATGGCCACATTTTGTAAAGCGAAGACACAAAGACAGGCTCGTAGGTGCTATATAACACAGGCTGCAGGGATGACAGGTAAGCCTGCTGTGA